TTGATCTTTGATGAACGAAATTATATTAATGATGACCGCAAATCAGTGTTTTTTTTTCATATGGAAAGACCGAGACAATGGTGCTATTTTCCAATTTCTTCAATGTACAAATAACGCATTTAATTTGATTTATAATAAAATTATTGTTAGCAAAATTTAAAAATAAAGATTATACGTTAATTTATTTCATAAATAAAATATATTTTTGCATTATAAAAAATATTCTTAATTTCAATTTATATATTAATGTTTTTAAATAAATAAAAATTTGTATAGTGCAATGTGTTTGTTACAACAACTGTTTAACTTTCTCTTGTCAAAAATTTTCAATACTAAAATTATAAATGTGTACAATGTGTCAAATAACAGGTACTAGTGAAATCAAGGTTGATTATTGCTGCACTTGCTACATTTTGATTATTAATTAAAACCACGATGTATATTGAAATGAGACACAATTAAAATTTTGAAGCTGGACCAGCAAGAATGAAAATATGATAAATAATTGACAATTAAAATTAACTTATTTGGATCCATAGTATTGATCGCAATTAGTTATAGAATTAATCCTTTTAATGAATTTCTTGTTTCAAAAGTATAATTTTTATAGAATTTAAAACGCAAAGAAACCACTCAGTCAAAGCGATTATTCTCAGTACTAATAAATAATTTTTTTTTGTAAATTAAGCTATTTCGCCGTTACATTTTCTACTTCACAGCGTCGTTAATTCCAATCGACTACTTAATCAGACTGAAAATGATCTCTCCTGATATACTCTCAAAGAAACGCTACGATCGAGCGTTATCGCTTCACTGCCGGGAAAAATGTTCTCTCGCCTCTCTTCCCGTCCGGTTTTCCACTCTCTATACGACCGTAAGAAAAGTTCAGGGCAGACCAAATCTCTTATTAAATCGGCAGCCACGTCGAAAGAGAAGCGCGCACATCAGAGAAGCCCAGCAAAAAGGAGCGGAACTCAAAGTGCAATTAACACCGCCGCCCGCAAAGGGGCTTCGCACCTCCGAGATGGAATACATTAAGCCGCGTGTTGACTCTCTTGGAGGCAATTATTATTATCATTGCAGTTAGGCGGGAAATATGACTCTGCAGTTCGCAGTATGCAAATTACTCCTACATTATACATTCAGAGGCGGCGCTTATTGTTTTCTTCAGTCGGCAATGAATATGCAAATGCAGCCGCTTGGATTATCAGGGCCAATCTGCTGCACCTGCAGATAAGGAGGCGTCGGCGGAATTTGTCTGCGCGCGGCTAATTAATTTTGAATGAACCGCGCCTCTTCTCGCAACTTGAGCTCTGAATTAAACGAGCTTTTGGGTCATTAGGGCCTCTTTCAGAAGTTATGCGTAATTATGCATGCTAATTGCGCGAGGCGCCTTGTTGTTGCCTGTAAATTGAAATGGATTTAATTAAGGCGCCATTCAAAAATGGCAGGCGAGAAAATTCACATTTCTGCAGCGGATTTAATTACTGCGCAATTAGCTCTTGCTCGTTAAGGGTCGAATGGGACGGTAATTGAATCAGATTTTTAAAGCCCTTAATTGTTTTTTATTTTGCAGCAGGAAAAGTTAAATTTAATACAGAATAAAATTTAAATAGCTTTCAGGTCACTTTAATACAAAGAAAAAATTCTTTTCAAAATAATTTAAATATTATTAATCTCATTTAAGGTTACAAAAGTTGATGAAATAATGAATAATTGTTACAACGAAAACTAACAATATCCTATTCTATAGGAATCTTGTTTTTAATATTTGAAGTCATCAACGGCCAAAACGTTGTACTCATTTAGTTTCTCTAGGTGTGTATTATAAAAAAAGCAATTTCGTTTTCATTTTCCTTATTTTTCCATTTTTGTTTTACTGCCTCCACATAAACTATGGACGCGTTTTTTTATGATTATTTGCATTTCTCGCCTTTCAAGTCGCTGCGTTTTCCACTCCAACCGACCCATTTTACTATCACGCATCTCTCTCGTGTGTCCCTTTACGGCCCCTTTTGCTCGCACTCAGAAAGTGTCCCGTTCCATATCGTAGACACACTACAGCTCAAGTTTGCATGAAAGCATCTCTCGTCGTTCAGCTCGGTGGCCGACGTTTTTGTTTTGCTCTCATCCCAAGACGCTTGTAAATTATTCAGAAGTATTAACTCTTCACGAAGGCAACAGTAAATATCACCACGCCATCACCGAAAGGATTGCTCGGAAGAAGAGAGACGTCAGGCCATGTAAAACCAAAGGCTTGTTTATTGCCCCGCCATAAAACTTGAAGGGCTCGCCCAATTTCGTTTCTCTTGTTCATATTTCTGTACGCTCAACTTTCCCAGCAAATTCATGCAAATTTATGCCAACGGAATTTTCTTCACGAAAGAACACGGAAAGTTAATTTCCATCTTTCTTGTGCCAAACCGCAAAAATTGTTTATTCGACCAATTCAGTCTTGCGAGAAAATTTTGGGGGAAATTTTGAGCTGCTGGGATTTTTCCGTCGGCCGCAAAGTTTCCCGGGCGCTGATTGAAGCGTGCAAACGAGGAGGCTTTCCTTTCCATCCATCACGACCCAGGCCGCTAATGCTAATGAGAAAAGGGCGATTCGCAAGCGCCTCGAACGATATTCAAATCCAATTCCTGCGAGAGAGAGAAACGAAAGATGATTGCCCCCGTCGCGAGCAGGCAGGGGAGATTGGGCTGCGCTGGTGCTCATTACTGCCGCATCTTTCTTCTCTTCAGCGTCGGCGATATTATGCTGATGTCGTTCGTGTAACAATGTTGACGTAAATTAGAAAAGAAGAGTGAAAAAATATGCCATGTTGGACGTCAGCTCGAGATGAAGACAAATCGAAAAGGAAGCCTTCGCCTCTGGTATTTTGAACATTATTATCGTCTTCTGTCGGCAGAGAGACGCGCGCGCGCCCAGCCACGCTGAGCTGCTGCCAAAAAGGGAGAAATCCGCCAAACGAGCTGCCGGCGAGTCGACTTTGCGTCACCTTCGTTTCAGCCGTCAGCTAATTAGCAACGCCTTTAACTTTTAACAATCTTGAGAAACTTTTATTACTTTTTTTTTATAAAAAATATCTTGATCAAACTACTAAAAATAATTATATAATAATTGAGCTTGTTTGAACTATATAATTTTTTTTTTTTTAATATTTGGAGGTGTTTTGAACTTCTAAATATATTGAATGAATAAGAAATCCAAATTCCTTAATAAAAATTTGGACACCTCAAAATTATTACTATCCTCATTTGCAAAATATTTGTTTACAGTATAATTCAAACATCTTCATATCAAAAATTTTGAATATTAAATTTAAATGCACCTTAAATATAAAATTTATGATTTATTTCCTCATAGATTAACAAACGTGATTTTTAGGCAACTTTGGGAAACATTTTTCCTTTTCTTACTCCAAGGTAATTAGCAAGTTAATGGAGGTTTCTGATAGAAATAAAACTGGTGGCCACAACAAACTTTCAGCTGAATTGTGCAAAATGATCAATCAGAATTCCAGACTGGATTTATCCATGCGTTAAGCGATCAGATTTCCTTGCCCGGCTGAGGAAGCAGGTATGCAATCAGCGCGACAGATTGGTGCAACCGGTTGCGTGACTTGTGCTCGATAAGCACCGAGAGAACGCACGGGGCAATCACGAAGGGAATCTGAAATTAATAATGCTGCGAGTGTTATTTTCCGCGGTATCGAACGCCACGTCTATATCTCGCTAGACTGATCGAAGGGTTTAAAACGTCGGCCAGACGCGCGGTTTATTAGAATAATAAAAATGCACTCAAATTTTCGCTCCGACAGTGGTCGTAAAAAAAAATACTTGCTGGCCGCGATCGACAGATAGAAGGTTCTTTTTTCGATTGCGAGAGTTTTTTGCTCTTTTCGCCCTTGGAATTATATTCTTCAACAAGAGAGTTTTGAATAAATTGCAAGTGGGGGCGGTTTCGGAACAAAAGCCGGTGGGTGTGTGTTTGCCCCTTGATTCTTTCCGGGAGCCTTTCTCTCTCTCTCATCAAAATAATTCATGTTGCGGTGCAGTCTGACTGATTCAAACGCTGAGCCTCCCGAGGCCATTCATGAAATCCGGCTCGTCTCTCTCGCCCTCGCTGCGTGTGCGATCGCGGCCGGGCTAATAAGGTGAGCAGGCATTTCACCACAAGGGCGGCCTCACTCTTTGCATCGCAGAGACTGGTCTAAATTAAAATCGCATATCGTGCGCTGGACCATTAGGGCTCTAATGAACTGCTCTTTGTTGCGGGGGCACCGCGGGTGGAGTGATGCGAGAGAGAGGGAGCGGCTAACAAGTTGTGGGCTGATGATTTTTTCCTAACCCTGATACCAATAATTCATGGTGAGATCTTCATAATTCATAACGCAAGAGCAAAATGAGATATCCTGCTGATTTATTCTCTTTAATTTCAACATTAAATTTTTAGTAAGACTATCAACATAATACCCTCCTGTATTTACTTTATTATCTACCCTCTTTGACTATTTGTACAAACTTATAAGTACTGCCATAATTTACAATTTTATGGACTTCCTTCTTATTTTAGTAAAATGATTTTTAATGAAAAAACCTGTAAAAGATAAATTTATGTACAATTTATATAAAAATAAATTAATCTTCATTTGAAACAACAGAGTATTTAGTTTTGGTGTTGGGCGAGTTTGTAATAATTATTTTAAATTTGATGCAATATTATTTAATAAATAAATTTTGAAGTGAAGAGAAACAAATTTATTTGTTAATTAAAAAAAAATCTTTTAAATAATTAAGTTATTTTTTACTAAGAACAAAATCCCGTTTCTCTTTACTTTCCTGGTTGTCTTCTAGATTTGTTTTTCATTTTTGTTTAAATTACTAAATAAATTTTGCCTCATATTTTCAAACTATTAATACATTTTCCATACTTTTCCAATGTTTATGCATCTTCGGCACATACCAGACTGGATATTTTAAATTTTTGTAACTCACCCATCAGCTTCTTCACTTCTTGCTGGCTGATGAACAGGTTGAAGTGCGAGTACGCCGGTCGCACCGCCGTCACCAAGCACAGCCACATGGACAAAATCCAGGCAACCCAGGTGCCCGCCATGCCGCGGTTCTGGGTTCCCAACACTCCAAAACGCCCCAAAAGCAAAGTTCAGAGGCCCACGGGCCGTGCCGACATTTCTCTCTCTCGTCTTCGGCTCCTCCGCGTGCAATCAACGTGAAGGCAATCGCAGCTGCCGAGCACAACTGAACGGAGGCTCGACCGGCGCACAGTGGCGAGGGCTGCATGCCAGGCAGGGCGCGGGACACGCACGCGCCCACCCCCGACTCGCGCACAACTCCAAAGAACTCCCTCAAAGTGCTCCAAACGACACCGAGTTGAAATGGTTACAAGCAAAGTTCAATAAAAATGTTACAAAATCTAAAACCTTCATTACTTTTTTAAAAACTATAAATTATTGTAATAATTATTATCTTAATTTATGCGTGGATCATTATTTTTACTTCACGTCTAGTAAATTTCTATTAGCGACCGGATCATATTTTTAGCTTATTTGTTGAATTTAAAAAAAAAATCTGATAAATATCAAAATATTTTTGAAGTAAAAATTAACAAATCACCTAAAACCACCTATTCCGCAGAAATTTGTACACCGAATTTAAATGTACCAAATTTAAACAATTTTTCACTGATTTGAGAAGATGAAAACAAATTTTCCCTGAAAAATCCTAATTCAACAATTTTCGCACTTTTAATTTCACCTAAAATCATTTTAAACAATTTCATCTAAAACTGCGTGTGTAACATAAATTTCATATCATAAAAATACAGTGTTTACCACATATTTCAGCTGAAAAACATCACCTATTTTAAAAGAGCTTAAATCACCTATTTTTCCCAAGCTTGATATTTTGTGTGTTTTTTAGCGTTAACTGAAAAAAGAAATGAATTATTTAGTTGAATATCAAGTTAATTGGTGTTTCACAAAGCCATCTCTATCTATAGCTTAATACATCATAAAAATATTCAAAAAAAATTTTTGTTTCTATTACCTATTGTATGTTTCAAATATTATCTCCTCTCCTAACAGTCCTAACTATCAATGGCTGCATTTTTCTTGCACTTATTTCGCTTTGCAATTCACTTTGAGATATGTTTTTTTAAATTTAAAATAATTTGTTCCATTTTGTTTCTAAATTGAATTTGAATTGACGGTAATGAATTTCAGAATCTATCTTTAAGAATCTACCCATCAGATCTTGATGGTATATTTTTTTTCTTCGAATCAATCTTTTGCTATTTTTAACTTTTTCACGCGACGTGCTTCTGCTGACCTGCAGAATAGATTGAATGGGAAGATCTGCAGAGTCAGCGGTAGCAAAAACAAATCATCGTAAATGCCGCCGTCCGCCTGGCTCCAATTATGATAAAAGCACCAGTGCAGAGCAAGAGCGGCGTCGCACATCTCTATACGCCGCTCTTGATGTGCATGCGCGCGGCACTATTTGTTTTGGCCTGCATAATTAATGAAATTATTAAAGTGAATGATCGATCTGCATGCCAGAGAGATACTGTGCCCGGGTCCGAAGGGATGCAAGGAGGGAGTCGCAGCTAGAAAGCACTTTAATTGTGCATTCTGCGCTCGCACGGCCTAATGAGGCCTTTATTAATTGGATGCGGTAACGCACCGCTGGCTGAAACAACAGCAAATGGAGAAACGCGCGGGTCGAAACAGGTCAGCCGGAAACTGTCAAGTGCAGAGCTAAATTGAGTGAATGGGAGATGAGAAAAGAACTGCTAATTAAATCCCATTCTGCAGTGCTCCAGATTTGATGGAAAAAAGGAGGATAAAAAAAAACGCAACTACTACTTTTTATTATTAACGAAAACACAAATGAATAGTCTGTTTGATAAAATTAATTTAATTATATTTATTTCATCTTTCCAAAATATTGCATACAATTTAATCATTGACTAAGCTTTTTCGTTACTTGTCCAGAAAAATTTATTTTTTAATTGCAAGTTATTCAATAAAATTTCTGAATGCTGATCTATTAGCACTTAATTTAAATTAACTCAGAACTCTTTCAGGTTTAAATATCCTAATGGAATTATAAATTTATTTTATTTATAATTCAATTATTGTCCGCAATAAAAAGATAATTTTTGGCTTTACGCTGAATTAATGTTATATTATATTTTTTTTTCTTGAAGCCTGTCAACTTCATTACACGATATGCGTGTTTTCATTTCCTTGTAAGAGGCGTTTTACGACCCAAAACAAGCCCAGTGCCGTGCACTGCGCATTCACTTATTAGAATATTTTCATAAAACCGCACTTTATGTGTTTACGACCGTTTGTTCGGTGCGCGCCTTTGTGTTTAGACGCACTTTACAAGGTGTTTAATCTAAGTAGGTTATATTTATTACGTTTCAGCCGCGCGAGTACACTTTTGTATATGTGTACGTAGCGTCCGTCGGACACGATAATAATAATATCCAATTCAGCAGCGCGTGTGCAGTGCGTATGAACGTGCTCATAAATACTCTTGCAAAGTACACAGCCCTGGCAAGGGAGAAACGGGGGGTGCTACTTTAAAGGTAATAAAAGTTGACGTAAATAGCTTTATATGCAAGAGCGCGGCGGCTCGTAAAATTCGTGTATCAAACGGCGAGGGTTGCAGCGGGAATTTGTTTTTACGGCAATAACAGTAAGAAGCGCAGTTCGCAGAGTCTCCCGACCGACTCTTGGAGTTTTAATTTTCCTCAATAAAGGCGCAGACTATATCAAATTACGACTACATGGGGCCGCGAAGGAAGGGTGAAAGAGCACAACTTTGGCTGCAGACGAGCGAGCGAGCGAGCGAGTGAGATATATGTTCTGCCACTTGCCTATTTGGCCAAATAGACACTCTCAGGGCCTTCTTCCAAGAGGGCTTTTATAACATACTGTATTTAAGAAAGCAAATTAAATTGTTAAACAATTTTTCTTACTATTAATAATTATTTAAAAATTGTTACAATTTACCTTAAATGTTTTTTTATTTATTTATTATATTTTTTTTTAATAAATATTTATAATTAACAGAATATTATTTTTTTTACGGTACAAAGAAACATATTTGGGAATATAAAAAATATATTCGTTATTATTTTACTAAGAGTAAGAATATTAAAAAATGTACAAGAGTGAACTAATGAGTAGAAATTGAATAATTATTCACTTCAGTGCAAATTAAGGGGTCTTCAGTAATACATTTTTGAAAAAATTTCTAGAATTATATGCACTCTAAATAATTGAAAGAAACGCTAAATGAATTGTATTTTTAAGAATATCCTGGATTTAAAAAAAGTCAAATGCTTTTTTCCGCTTTGTTCAAAGTATCTCTTGGCTAGCAACCCTACGTAATCGAAGGCCCCGTTTCTGATGCTCCTCCACTACATTAGTTGGTTATTCACCCCTCAGTGCGCTCTGCTCGCTGCAATCACATTTTACGAGTTGTCAGACGCGGTGTTTTCAAAGCGACGGCGGCCGGGGTCAATCGCAGCGAGAATTGCGAGAGTGTGTTCGCCGTCGCCGGCTTTATGTTCTCTGCAACCTAGTATCAATTTTTATTTTTTACATTATGTACCTTTCCTTCTGGGTTAAATGAGCCGGAATTATTTCTGTTTATATCGCATGCGTCAGCGACTCGAAGAAAGAATAAGAAAGAAAGACGTTCTTGATATGAAGAAAAAAGACCAACTTCTTTATGGCGCCCACATTCTGACTTCATTATTTTTTATTTGGCCTCCTTAGCAGTTGCAGTTTTCATAAAAGTTCATTTCAACTCGTAACATTTGATATTTGATTTCGTTGTTTTTGTATGATGAGCACCCTCACTCTCCTTATGCGTGGCGAGGCGCTTCTCGGGAAAACAAGCTAATTAATTTTAAGCACGGCAAACATAATTAGGCAGAAATGGCAAAAGGGGCTACGACTACTGCGTTTGGTTACAGCGGGGAAGCACGAGATTTGTAAAATTAATTATTCCTTTAGGGTTTAAATTTATGATATCAATTTAAGCTCTCAAGATGCGTTTTATGCGTAAACCTACCTATTTTTAGACTGTACTTTAACCTTTATGATATCACCTCCGTAAACTTTGAGTGGCATTTCCGCGAAATATTTGGTGACGCGCAGTGAACAAAATAAGTGAAGCAGAAACCCCCTGTGGTATTATAGCAACGAAGAGAACGTTGACATTTAATCATTATGTATGTCAGCTTTTGCCCTTTTCCTTAAAATCACGGATCAAATTATGAAAAGTATTGCAAAATGCTACTATTTTAATTTTTTAACTGCAGATTACCGATTTTTAGTGGTTTGGTTATGCTTGGAGAATTTTTATTTGAAGATATAATTACAAAAATTTGGAGACAGAGATTATAATTGTTTATGAAAAGGCTGTTTTAGAAGTGAAATAGATTTAATTTTGGTATTTAAAAAAAAAAGGTGGTAACGGTTGAATTTTGTCAAAATAAATTAATGTGCATTTTAGCTCTTTTATAAATTATTAATTACTTTAACAATTAGACAATTTAGACAATAAAAAAGGAAGCGACCTCTTAAAAAAATTTCAATACAATTCCAAATGAGCTTTATAAAATAAACAAGTGTGAATCGTTGGTGAGTGGGACCTCTGGTGCTCATTTAAGAGAGGCGTATATCATTCTGGCCTGTGACCTCACAGACTTATTGTTAGTCAGCTGAGTCAAACGGAGGCTTGTATTGGGATAACATGCGTGTCTGACTGCCCTGTTTAAAAATTCGCTCTGCTGTGGTAAGAAAAACACAATTCTTTATAAAAAATTATTTTTGGTTTTAGCTGAAAAATTAAATCATTTTAGGTTTTTTATAAAAAATGTTTCACTTGCTGATGTTTTGCGCTCTTTTTGTGATTGGTTCGACCATTCCTCACACAAATTCGGATGAGAGGAAACAAATAAGTCCAAACTGCACATCATTAGGTACTAATATAAAGATAAATTCGATAAAAAGAAAAATAATTAAAAAAATCATTTTTAGAAATATCAAATAAATGTTCGGGAAACTTCACTCAGCAAATTGGAATTGAAGGCTTGGAGTGCACTATCGAAAGTTTCGCCTACCCAGACAATTTCCTCAGTATGAAATCAGGGTGGTGGTACAAGTACGCAATTTTGGAGAAAGGCAACCCACGCAGAGACACTAGTTGGAACTGGAGAGCCGTGTGGCAAATTTCGACCGTAGACGTAGAGGGTGAGAAACTTTTCCTCCTCAAAGATCAAAAGAACAACAGGTAAAAAAAAATCCACCGGTATTTTTGCTTGACGCACGCTGCATTTACACAGGTACTTGTCGTTCAACAAGCTCATATACAACTACTTGAGGGGTGAGAGCAACCCCAGGATGATGGACAACTTGTGGAAGATTGCGAGGGTTAGTGCGAGCAGAGAGAGCGTGACGCTTCAAAGGCACCTGACGCCTCGTGAATATTTGCACGCCTCTTGGAGAGTCAAAGGCGACGAGCGCCAGTTAGAGATGCACGAGGAACCCCACGCCGACGCGGACCAGTGGCTCATTCATTGCAGCGGCTAGTGAATAAAAAAATAAAAATTAAATTTTTTTTAAATTTATTTCCATAATTTATAATCATTGGCAAAATGTGATAATATCTTCTCTATGTTTTGATGTTTTTGTAATTTGTCTTTTTGACCGAATCCGGCTTGAGCATGGCGTGTTCAGTGTCACGCTCATGAGAAGATAGCCTTTGGCCTCCTATTGCTAAAGGTCTCGGATTACGCGCAGCTATCATGATGCGAAATGCGGAGTTGATGAGCTGTTTGGAGAGGCGCTTTGGCCTGGCTTGTTCACAACATACAAATTGAAATCGCGATTGAAGGACCAGTAATGAAGTGAGTCTAAATAATATATTTTATCAAAAACGTTTTACCATAAAAACATTGCAATGTCAAAAAAGTTTGAGTTTAATTAAATTAAAATATTATTTACAATTCAACCTTCCCTTCAAAATATCAATCTAATTTTAAATCAATATAAAATTTTTGTAATAAATCAAAAGCAATTCTCAATAAAATAAAAATAAAAATATATGTTTTGAAATCAAATAAAGTTCGTTTTTTTTAATATTTATTTTTAAGTTATATTAGTAGTATAAGATTTGTGCATAAAAAATTTAATATGATCTTCATTCTTCTATGAATATTTCCTTTTGCCCATGCAATTGAGTATTTCACTTTTAATAATTCTAAAAGGTGTAAAAGTTTAATAAGCTCTACTCACTATCAGTGTACCTAAATTAATAAAAATAACTTTTGCTGGGAAAAACATTCACACGACTAACTTCGGTAATTCCTAAATATATCCATGATGCATAAAAATTTCTTGTTAATATTCTTCTAAATAAAATGATATTGAAAAAAAAATAAACTAAATAGAGCAAAGTATACTGCTGGGGTGTTCTTTTCCAAACCCAAATCGGGGCGCACACACGCGCGGTTGACAGTAAACACAAAATAAATTGTCCGCTCTCAACCATTAGGTCCCTTCTGGTGGTGGTGGTCGCTGTGATTGTCAACTCGGAGGCCGCCGTCCCAACGGGCGAGAGCTGCGAAATCAAGAGCGCCGCATTCAGCGACTATCTGTACTTGTCGGCCGGCTGGGTGAGCCAGAATCCAATTTTGTGGCCGGTCAGGCCTCAATTGGCCAGCAGGCGGAAAATGCACGGAAAGTGGCGTATCGAGGCCAAGGAGAATCGCGGAAAGACGTTTTACCGACTGTGGAACCACGGCGCAGAAACGTTTTTGGTGGCCAAGGGAGACGGCGTTGGAACGAGGAAGACCTCAGGTGGAAAGGACAGCGACCTGCTGTGGAAGATCGAAGCGCTGGGTGCCAGCGAAGGTGCCACTTTGTCGCAGGACGGAGAATTTTTGGTCGCCAAAGAGGACAAGGCGGGAGAGGAAAGGGAACTGAAAATGGGGCCCAGATCTAATAAGAAATCAGCAAAGTGGGTTATAAACTGCTAAAAAAAATACAGTTAAAAATGTAAGGAAAATTAATTTTTTTTTCTAATTCACAGAGGTTTGAAATCAAATTGAAATAAATCGTTACAACTTATAATGAAATTTTTTGTATTTTTTAAGTAGTAATATTTTGTTTAATTAATTAAAAAATTTAAAAAACATCATAAATTATAATTTTATACTTTGTATTTTGTTTTTAATTCTTGGCATCATTGATCAAAATGCTATTCTGGTCGTAGTATCAATTTCTGACTTCTGAGTGGTATATTTTACAGCAGTTCAAAACTTGGAAGATTTAAAAAAAATTGCGCATTGGTGGTTATGATTTTCATTTAGTGTTGTTAACCGACTTTATAAAAATTCAACATCTCGTTTTTTTCTTAATAAATTATATAATATTTTAAGCTGCAACTCTATCATTTTTTTCCCGCAAAAAAAAATATCATCTAGATACAAACAAAAGCAGAGTTTGATCATTATTTACGTTACTAACAATGAAAAATATCGACCTCTATTTCTCAAATTGATCTTTTGCTTTTGACCTGTCCCAGTTAACGGCGACTGATAAAAGATAAAAGTGCCTTTCTCGACTTTGATTTTGCATACTGGAGGACATTCGGCACCATGAAGTCGGTCTTGCCTCACATTGCCGTGGTGCTTTTTTCTCTCTCTTGGGCCGTCCACGGCCAGGGCTATAATGTAAATAGCGGAAATTTTCCTCCGCTACCAACTGCCAGGACGACCCCATTCCCTAGATCCGGTTTAACTACCAAGCAATATTATTACGACCAAAGGGCCCCTGCCGGTGCCGCTCATGCCATCACCGACAGTCCGTTGGCTGGAAAACATCTACCTGCAAACACTGTTTCTGCGGTCCACGGATCTGAATGCACAATTTTCAGGTAATTTTTAAGCATAATTTTCATAATAATTTATGTTATATTGATAATTTTATATCATTTAATATTTATAAATAAAATGACTTAAAAAATTAATTTACAATTGAAAAGTACCAGCAATGGAATAAATTATATAAAAAAATGAATTTAGTGACGCCTACCCTGACCAGTACCTGACGATGGCCTCCGGCTACTTCCACTACTACCCTGAGCTGAAAAAGGGCAACCCGAAGGCAGTTGCCGGCAGCTGGGACTGGACAGGTGTTTGGAAGATCACCTATCTCACTGTCCAGGGCCGCACGCACTTCCAACTTTTCAACCTGGGCACCAACAACTACCTGACCTTCAACGAAACTAAACACGAATTCGTCAGAGGCACCACCAAAGCCGATTACGTGGCCAACCTGTGGGACATCACCGAGCACTTCAAAGCGGGCGGCCCCTCTTACAAGACCATCCAGCACTCGCAGCCACCCAAAGGGTACCTGCACGCCCTGACCAGTAACAAGAAGTCTGACACCAGGCCTGTTGGAATTTTGGCGCTGCAGCCTGGCAAGGACATTTATCACTGGAAGGTTACTTGTGGAACGTAAAATGATCTTTCAGAAGGAAAAACAAAAATTGTAGTCAAAATTTTTAAATAAAATTGAAATTTTTTTATAATTAAATTTGTATTACTTTTAATTGCTGTATGTCAACAAATATTATTATACAAAGTCATACATTTTTTTTGTGAGAGCACTAATTTGATTTATTATTATTGAGGAAAATAAATAAATTTATTAAGACAGAGAAAAGTGGTGCTCGAAAATGAACTATTGAACTTTGCTGACGCGTAGTTTATCAAAAGCACAGTGATAATGGGAAAAACCGAGCGTGGCCGTCTCTCGGTTTGGTCTGTGTTAATATGAAAATGTCTTCGGCAATATCAGTGGTAATTTTAGCTCTCCTCTCTGTCGCTCACGGCCACAGGGTTTACCAGCCTGAGAGATCACGTCTTACTGTGACCACGCCAGCAGAAGATGATTATTACGATGATTCGGCCAGTGAAGGAATTTCACAAGTTGTAACTGAAAATTCTATTCGTGGACAATCTTTGCCACCTGCTACTGAAATCAACACATATGGATTCGAGTGCACTATATTCAGGTTGGATAAATAGAAGTGGTTTTAATAAATATTTATCATTTAAGATTATCTGTACCCTTATAACTGATAGTTTCCACAAATAAGTTATGTTGAAATATGATAATTAAACGTTAAATTTATTTTATTAAATAAAGATCAGCGGATCTCAGTGGTACCATCCGACTCGCAATAAAATCTCGTGACGTCATATAACTCAAAAGAGAGGGGGACTTTAACAGAAATAATGAAATAAATAATGCTTGTTTCTTCATCAATTTCTTTTTCAACTTTTTTTTAAAAGGAGCTTCAAAATAATATAAATAATTTTTAAAAAAAAGTTTTACAATTGTCATTAAAAAATAATCATATTCACTATTCTTATAATTATTTTTTGGTCTCGAAGGTAAATAAAAAATAATAATTTTTCGATTTTGATTTGCAGCGCGGCTTACCCTGACCAATACCTGACAATGGAGTCAGGCTTTTTCCATTATTTCCCAAAACTGAAAAAAGGAACCCCAAGACCGAGGGATGAGGCTTGGGACTGGAGTGGCATCTGGAAGGTCAACCGCCTTGACTTCTTAGGGGACACGCATTTTCAATTTTGGAATCACGGCACCGAGACTTTCATGACTTACAACGCGACTCGTTATTCTTTCGTTCGGGGAACCGGACGAGCACACGATGTGGACAACCTGTGGGACGTAAATGTCATTCAGCAAACCAACGGCACCATCACGACAATTCAGCACGCACAACACCCGAACGGGCATTTGCACGCGAGGACTTCTTCAGAAGGAAGCAAAAGCAAGAGGCCGGTCGGTATTTTTGTTCCTCCGGAGGCAAACAAGGACATTTACCACTGGAAAATAAATTGCGCGTCATCTAAGAAAGGAGGAGTTTGATTAAATTTAAATCAAAATATTATATATCAATTACCAAAATAAATAATATTTGTCATGAAAACAATTTTTTTTATTTTGATTACATAATCTTAAACTAGAAATTTCCTTCCGAGCGTCATGAACTTTACAAGCATGGGGATTCGTCCAAACCGAGGGGGCACATCAATGACACATATATTATTTCGTGATGATGTTATGTAACTGCATAGCCTACAAAAGCAGCATTCGCTCGCGGTGATCATTCAATCTATCCGCAGTTATGGCGCACATTACTCCGAGTTTTCTTCTCGCTCTTGCACTTGCAGTCACTTTGCAAGTGTGTGGTTCTTTGGCTGATAGCAACCTAGTAACTGAACTCAAGGCGCTTGATGACTGCACAATTTACAGGTAAATTTAAATTTTAGTTTTCATAATTGTAAAAAAAAAAATGTAATATTGGCAGAAATTGATTACATAACTGATTTTTAAAGGACCATTTTTATTTTTTTCACTTTTCCTTAAAAAATTTAAAAAAATCTTATAACAATAATCATTATTTTTATTTACAGTGTCAGGCACCCTGAATTCTACTTATCCCTTTACTGCCCTCTTCGAGTGAACTACAGACTGCAACTCAGGAAAGGAAACCCCCGCGAGTCCGATGATGGCAAATCGACCAGCGGCCGTTGGAAAATCAACATTCAGGAAAACACATCCTCTGGCAATAATACCCGTGTCCAGCTGTGGAATTACTTTGCCGAGCGCAACCTCGAGTACTACGAATCGGAAAACGTCATTTCCACTAAAGTGGGCTACAGAAGGTGGTCGTCCGATGGCAAAAACAACTGGCTCGTTAATATTAAATCAGGTGGATTGACCAGCGAGGGCATCGTCACTCCCATTCGACTTGACTTTTCTCCTGACCAGTACCTGCACGCTGCCAATGATGAGGACATTACTATAAAGGACACTGTTGTTGACAACACTGGCTTATGGCGAGTCTCGTGCAAAAAGCAGGAATGATTTAATTATTTGTTACTTTGGCATAAATGAAAAAGTTTTATCAGCTGTATATGTGAGGAAATTGTATATTATTTAGTACAAATCTGGTACAAATAAAGAGAAAAGTAATTTAAAAAACTAGATAGACAAAAAGACTTATTGGTTTTTTTAAACACTTAAATTTAGAGGTAAAAGGAATTGGCAAGCAAAACACAATAAATTCGTAATTTTCAATTTTATAACAACTGTATTATTAAATTAAACAACTAGATAGTCATCAACAATAGGATAATGCATTATGCACATTATACTGATGTAATATTGTAAAGTACTTTAATTTTACATTATATATTATTTATTTTTCATTTTTGAGTAAATAAGTTGATTTTTTATTAGTTGAATTATTTTTATTATTCACGGGTATTCCAAGGGCCAAACGGTTATCAAAAATAAGTTTGTATATACAGTGACATATGACACTGAAGACTGAGCTTTAAATAAGAATAACAGCCCCGTGACTGCCACACAAACGTTCTGAAAGATATGGCACAATCATCATGGAGCGTTTTTCTCTGCTTGGCATTGGCTGCTTTGCTGCAAACTTGGATAATCCCTGCATTTGGCGATGAAGTAGTCCAAACAGACTGCACAATATCCAGGTATAGTGAAATTTAACAATTAAATATTTGGTTATAATCAATCGCTATTTATAATTTTTTCCATTTGTTTGTTTTATTTATCAATAGAAATTGAAATTTAATAAATTTATAAAATATACAAAAACTTTAATTTTTACTAAAATTTAATTACTGAAAAGTTCATTTACTAATAACGCTTTTATTTTAGTGTGAAATACCCAGATGCTTACCTCACACTTGAAGACAATTTTAGAAATTATCTTCTCAAGCTTTCGAATGGCGAGCAAAATACACCTGCCATGTTGTGGAATGTCCACCTTATAAGCTCAAATGATGCATCATCAGGCGTAAAATTTTATAATAAAAAAGTGGAGAAATTTTTGGAGTACTGCAATGCAGGAAAATTTCTTGGATACACAAGATGGGCAATGACAAAAAATGTTTGGACACTGAATGTCACAAATACTGGGAGTTCTAGCAAATTTCAGACTTCGCTCCAGCTAACAGATAGTGACGATAAACTTTATTTGCATACATCATTTAGCGAGAACCAGCTGGAAGCTCGTAGCAAGCTCAGTGAAGATGGCTTTTGGTTGATTAATTGTTAAATTGCTGCGTATAATATATATGGATTGCGCATAACATAGATTTGAAGGTTTACGTCATATTTTGTACATCAATAAAATTTTTCAATTTTTTCAACTAATATTAATTTTCAATCAAAATTTTTTGACGTGACAATAAAAATTGAAAAACAAAAACTTGGTTTTATTTAGTTGCAAGGTGTCTTTATATTGATTTATCAGAAGGCATTTACAAATCAACAATTTACAGTTTTTTTCTTCAGCGTTGTTAAAAAGCAATATAGCATTTTTCGTACGTCATCAGTCTTCACAATTATTCTATTCAGTTAAATAAAGCTCTGATAATTTCCCCTTTGTAGATCCCCACTTCTGCTGTGTGGCAAATGCCTGTTTTCGTTTCAAAAGGTTATCTCTAAAGATGCTGTAGACTTCGGCTTTTAATAAGACCAGTGGCCTCGTGACTGCTGCACAACTTTTGGGAAGACATGGCACCGCAATCATCACAGAGTATTTTCCTCTTCTTTGCATTGGCTGCATTGCTGCATATGTGTGCAGTCTCAGCATTTACGGCTAATGTTATCCAAAAAGACTGCAGAATATCCAGGTTTCTATAAATATTTATATTAAAAAATACGACTCCAAATTTTTTTGTTACAACATTTTTTTCGAACTTTATATTTTAGTTTGCAGTTTTATGAAATATTAAATTATAATTTTAGTTAATCAGTATCAGTTTTATATCATGCTCAAGTTGTTATTATGCAGTATATAATGTTTTTTTTTATTTTTTTATTGCTAATTATTTTCTCAATTTAACTAAAAATTTGAATACTTTTCAGTGTTGAGTATCCAGATGCGTTCCTCGTCATGTACGACAACTTCAGCAATTTTCTACTTAAACTTTCAAAGGACAAACAAAATACATACGCAAAGTGGAATATCCATCTAAAGAGCTCAAATGATGTCTCTTCAAATGTAAAATTTTTCAATCAAAAGGCGCAGCGCTTTCTGGAGTACAATGACGCAGGATCATTCCTTGGCTACACAAGGTGGTCATCTACGGAAAACATCTGGACATTGAAAATAAAAAATCCAGAAAGTAATAGCGTATTTGTAACCCCACTCCAGTTGACGGAGAGTGACGACGATCTGTATTTGCATGCGTCAAACGGCAAAGATCTGGAAGCTCGGAGCAGGCTCAATAAAGAAGGACATTGGAGATTTAAGTGCTTAGTTAAGTGATTAAACTACGGCCACCTGAGCATTATTAATAAGAAAGAGAGGCAAAGTTTGTTGCGTATTAACATGCCAAAGGTGAAGCCAATCCTTCACATTTTGTAAAATTTATATATAGATTATGGATTATTACTTATATTATCAGGAATAAACATTAACATGAAAATGATTTGTGCTATTTGTTTTTAATTTATTACATTTTTATTGCCCTTTGTTCCCATTATATGAAAATAAAATTTAAATTAAAAAATTAGGCACTGAATAACCGTGCCTAGATACCATACGTCATAATTCTTCACAATAGATCAAACAGTTAATCAACTCAATTGGGATATCTGATGAGCCAACTTTAGACGCTCCAGATTAGTTCGGCCTAGATAATTGGGCGGCGTAGATCACCAGAACAGCATAGTCAAGGGCAGACAAGAGTAAGTTTCTTCTATGTGTTGTAATTTTACAAATAATCAAAATTTTTGCAATTAAAAATGAATGCAATTTTTTATAATTTTTTGACAGCTGTCAAATTAATAATTAATTTTGGATTACCACCAAAATAATTCAATATTATTAAAATATTCGTTTTTAGCGTCGACCTGGATTAAAAAAATATATATATTGAAATTAAAGGGGTAAAATGAACGCAGCTTCAGTTTCCAAAGTTATCTGCTGCCTCCTCTTGATCGCAAAAAGCTCCACCGCCATAGACGACTTTGAGTTCCCTATTGAAGAGCACGAGCAAGTCCCTGTGCCCACCGTGAGCGTTGACCAAAAACTGCCAAATGATAGCTCAAGCAGGATATTTGGGCTCGAGTGCTACATTTCAAACCAGGCGTATCCAAATGAGTATTTGTACATGGTCTCAGGATGGAAGGGTGACTACCCTTTAATGCAGCCAGGGCTTCCGAGGCGACCTTTCGATCAATGGAACTGGAGAGGAATGTGGCTCATCAATGAGGTCACAATTAATGGAGAGGTCAGGCGATTTTTTTGTTTTATTAAAATACAAGGATTTTAATTATATTTTTTAAAATTAACAAATTTTATTACATTAAAAATACTTGAATTTTAGCAGCAAATAATTAATATATTATTTCTCCTAAAAATTTTAGCCGTTTTACCAGTTTTGGAATCACCACTACCACAAGTACCTGAGCTTTAACCCGGGTAGCAGTAAATATGTGAAGGGCAAAAAGGACGGCAGCTCGCTGGACAGTATATGGGGCGTGGGGCAGCGGGGCACCGCTTACTCGATTCATCACTCTAATGGTTACCTGTACGCCATGACCTGGAAGAGCAAAAAGGATAACCGCTTCGTCGGCGTCTTGAATTACAACCCTGACAAGGAAATCTATAACTGGCGCATCAACTGCCGTAATAGTAAAGGGGTTGTCTCGTCTTGATGAGTTAAAAGGTGAAAACCGGATTTAAAACAAATTTATACCTCAATAATAAATAATAGTTTATCGGCCCATGTATATTTTAATATTTTTATTAACACATTCATTTCAATAAAATGTAAAAATTTTAAATTTTCCTATTAATATAAATTTTATTAATTTTTTAAGTCCTACAATTATGTCTTATGTGTGTAATTGCATGCTTTTATCAGCGGAGGGCGTTTTCATATCCTGCTGATATTGAAAACTTTTCCTCCTTTTTGGCCTTCTCGGGATTCCCATCAACTCTCTTAATCCGACGCATACAAGTCATTAGTGGGCGCCTTGCAAAAATGAATTTCTTAAGGAAGCTGCACAAATAGAAATAAGTCTTCCATCGACATCATAGAGGCGATTGCATTTTACTGCTCACGGATTGCGCTCTTCCTTTGACTCCTCTGCTGCAAATCCCCAGGGGCAAGAGGGCCATCCAACAGCAAACCCCGTAAGAGATGAGCAAGAGGAGATGCCGGCAAATTAATCTTTTAGGGGGTTATGCCTCCAAATTGAGCGCTTTAGGAATGCCGGTCTCGAAGTAGCATTCCTTGTACCCGGCCAAAAAGTAATCCAATTCGGAGACGGAGGGGATTTTCGGGCCCAAAAATTCACGGTAAATTGAATCAAAAACCTTTTAAGACTATCAAAGATTATTGAATTACCATGTAAAAAGATTAAACAAGGGGCTGAAAGCTGAAGATCAACAATTAAATTTTAATATATTTATAAAAAAAAGATAAATCGTCTATACATTTTAAATATATTCTATCGGAAAGAAAAATAATTTCCAATGCTTAATTTTTACATTTTCTCAAACTACTCGAGAAATTAAAACTAATGAAGCCCGTATCAAATTTGTCACATAATAAAGCGATGCTGAATAAACGAAAAATTTTTCATAAAAATAATATATGTGTCCTGTCAGCAGAGATGAGTTTGTCAAGTTGAGTGAAACTTTTTACAATTGAAAAGCAAACACAACCGCATGACACATCAGCCCTCATTAAGTCGTTGTGGAAACTAATAACTCACGTCACGTGTGTCGGTAACTAAAGCGTGCACTGTGTACATTAATGATCAAGAAACCCAACACTCAAAATGCTTGCTTGCTTAGTCGGAATCAAATGCAGCCAGGAGCTGTTGATTTTCTGGCAACATCTGCCAAAAAGGGAGACGCGCGTATCGAATTGCAGCATCAGCATAGGCTAATCACCCTTCATTCGCATGCGGGCCGCCGCAAAGCTAATTCAGCGTGAGTTCCAGCGCCCGTGTTTATTTACTTTCTTTTGTTAACAAAGCGCCAGCTGAGCTAATTACCCCCGTTTTCGACTTTTTGGCGATGGGGACGCGTTTTGTGGGAGCAGTGACATGAGGCACGAATATCTGTTCTTTGATGCCTAGTTCCGTGATGAAATGAAAAGAAATGTGTGTAATTTAATAATTGAATAATTGTTATTTTTTTTTGTGAAGTAAATATTACCAACGGACAGTACAGAACACCAATCTGAAGTATTATTATAAATTAGACTATTGTCATCAATATCTTATTTCTTCAAAATTGCAAATGCATGAAGGGCCAAGATAACTTTTTGTCATTCAAAGGATTAAGTAAATGACACATTTTTATTCATATATACTTTCTTAAAATTAATTCAATAAACACATGTATGAAATAACATAATTATGTTTCAAATTTTATGTACAAACAATAATAATTTAAAAAAAATAAATAATGAACAATATATTTAAAGAAAACAAAACAAAATTAAAAAATTTCATTGTTAAATTAAATTAAATTATAAATTTTAAAATTTCAATAAAAATAACACTAAAATAAAATGAAATTTTGAGAATTCCCAATCGGCAGCTACTTTTTCAGCTTAATTAACAATTTAAAATTGATTATGTTCATTACAGCAATGCATTTGCTATATTAAATATAATTTCGGCTCAACCGGAAGACTTGATTGAAGCGTCTTTGATTTGAATTACGTCATGGTGCAAACGCGAGTCTCGAGCATCAGCGAGCTTGACATAAATTGAAAGCAACGAGCCCGCAGCGGCAAAAAGCGGCGCGCCATCCACGACTAATCTCTTCACATCAAACGCCCCACGCGCAATTTCACACCCAGGCCGGCGGTCCACGGTGGTCAATTTGAAATAATGGTGAGGCAGAGGGAAAAAGCTGCGGCCGTCTGCAGAGGAAAGAAGGTAGATGCTTGTAATAGGCCTGGTCTCCGAGATTATTTTTCTCCGCCGGAGTAAAAAGCTGTGTGAGAGAGAGTAGGGTCCTTTCTTTCTTTTTTTTTTTCAGATTGCCCGGGTGACGATTGATTAATTTTAAGTGCTGCGGGCCTCGGAAAACACGCCGCGGGTGCGTTCGTTCGCTCTCTCGTCCCGGCAGCACTCTGTGTCGCTCCTTCAGAAAATAATCACAGCAGTTAAATATTATTCCGCTCTTGGAAACAGAGCAGTGCTCGAACCGCGGGAGGAATTTAATCTCGGCAGATTGACAAAGCAGCCTCGAGGACCATTTATCAAGCGACGCGCTTCTTTCCTCTCTCTTGAGAGCCAGCCGGATAGATTGATGCTTTACCCTGCCTCGATTCCCTGCGTAAAAAAAAAGATTCGATGTGCATGCAAATTTCAAGTTGATGGGTTCGGATTTGCGGGACACATTTGGGTCGCTTGATTTGAATAGTCAATTTACTTATAGACCTTAAATTGCCTCTTTTTCTTTAAACAATTTAAATAACGGTTAAAAAAATAATTCCCATTTTTTTATCGAAAATTTAAGTTTAAGGATAAATAAATGTAAAAGTCTTTTACTTTGCAAAACACTCTCTGGGAGTGTTTGCCAACGAGTTTAGCAGGTAGATGAAAGCCAAGTTTTGATCTTGGCGAATGAGGCTAAGTGAGGCCACAGCAAAGGAGAGAGATTCGCTCGCAAAGACAAATGCAGACAAACGCTTTGAATGCAAAAACCAGCAGCATCAATTCCAGCTAAGTAGAGTGTGTGTGAAGCCATTGCGATAGAGCGACAGAGAGACGCGCGCATTTCGCAAAGAGCAGATAAAGCATGGAGAGTCTTTTCGGTCGCGTACTTTGACATAAAGCATTCATTTATCAACGAGCATCACAGAATAAGAAACAAACAAATAATTACACTTTGAGATGGACCATAGATTAAAATGATTAAAAAAGATATACACATGAAAATTACACTTTTTGTGAATCAGACCTTGCTCTTTCCTTACATGGCAGAACACAGATCTATTTATGGGTAAATTTTCAACTTCAAATAGTAATAAATATGAGAAAACCATGATTTTAACAATTCAATGATGCCCAATTTTGATGTCATAATTTTTTATACGTTGTTGGTAATTGTTTTTCTTGTGAATTCTGACATAATTTTATAGCATCATTTAATTTTTTTTTATTATGGTAAAAAATTATTTAATTTTCTGTAACAAATAATAATTAGAAGCATGTTGTATAATTTTGTTTGCCATTTTAAGCAAAGATTATTTTATACCATCCTATATTTATAACAGGCTCCAAGCTTTGTGTTTGTTGGCGTTGCCGTGACACTTTGCCCCGTTCTCGCAATAAAAGCGCTGTTGGCCTTTTTCCTTTTTTGCCGTGTCCGCGCACATACACACGAATAAGTACGTACACGGTAATTAGCATGACAAAGGGCGGCGGAGATAAAATTGCGCCGCAACTGTTGTAAAATAAAAGTTTGAGCCTTTTTTGTTTGCTGCGTCAGCCAACCAGCCCTCTCGCTTCCTGCCCTTTTCTTATTTCCTGCGCGCCGCCAAAAGGACCCTCCGACCGAAACATACCTTTCTGCTTTTTCTTCGTCGCGGAGAATCAAAGGAAGGAGCGCTTGCTTGGTTTCATCTCTTCTTTCTCCCGCTGCTTGTTCTGTCTTTTGTGTGTTTGTAATAGAGAAAAGTTTCTCGCAGAGAAAGACGCGGTGGGCAAGCAGCGGAGCAAATTTCATCTAGCGTCCCGTGTTTGCGCCAAAACGAGCCTCTTAAGGACATTTTCACCCGGCCTGGCGCGAAATTCGCGCAGGATAAGCGCAGAGGCGAATTATAAGCGGGATGCTTAGAGTGCCGCCGCCTCGCTGATAGGCAATCTGCCTCCGGGGGATGCTGTGCTCACGAGCTGGAGTTTGCTTATTTTCGCGCCCAACTTGGGCTACAATGAAGAAAAAAAAAGAGACGAGCTAAGCGAAAAAGCACCAGGCAAAAGAAACTCAAGAGGAAATTTGATCTGACAATATAAAAAGTGGAAAGTCTTTAATTTAATGCAAACAATATACCAGCCTACCTTTCAAGTTTTCAGAACTTTGATGCACATTTTCACATCATATATCTAGTTTTTCATGATTATGCACTTAGCACATTATAACTTAACAAATTTCTTAATAAATTTAGATATTTGAAATTTTAAATGGAACAAAAACACTAGAGCTATTTTCATTTGTTAGTTTTAAGCATGAGCATGAAATTACTAGCTCTTGCAAGTTTATGAAATTATTTTAAACAAATATAAAATAATAAAAAATTAATGACACAGCACAGTTTAAATTGTGAAAACAAATTAACTAAGATAAAATAATTAAATTAAAATAAAATGTAAAACCTAACTAAAGTTTAAAATTTAAATACTAGTAAAATAAATTTCAATATTTATTTTATATTTTCTAAGCAATAAAAATATTTTTTGGTTACTGTTACTTTAATAGTAGATTTGTTTAAATTTATACTAATTTCATCATCGCATCGACTTCAAGTTTTATTCAGGGCAGAGAATTTCGCATCGTGGGACGGTGAGCAATCGCTTGAACATCGTCTCGTCGAATGACGTACGTGTGTGCGTTCTCCATCTCGGTCGTCGGCATTCGTCGCTCGAACGAAGCGCGCGCTTTGCGTTTTTGTGCTTTGCTAACAAACATCCTGAATCGCTGATGGATAAATGTCTCCGCTTCTCGTGAGATACTTTTTCTGCCGCGCGCTCATCTGGCCCACAAATACCCTCATTTTGATGTCAACACTTGTCAAATGCGCGCGTGAGAGGAAAAAACAAAC